CTATCTCAGCCTTGCTACTTATTCTACATGCAACTCAGCCATTCTATTGCTATGCCTTCATTCTGCTTCCTGCTCCCCCATCAATGAAAATGACACAACATTCAATCAACAAGCAGATCATAGGGAATCGAGACATGAATCCGTGCAGTGGAATTTCAGGGGAAATGTATCCTGTCCATAAACCTCTGAGCATCTTTGAAAGGCAGATTAGTGCCATTATCCTCATTTTCGACCCAAAGAAAATGAAACAGAAAATGCAAGTAATTTACTTGAGGTCAGAGACAGATCTGTTAAGTGACAGCGTTAGCAACAGAAAATGAGGCCCCATGCATTTCAGAATATATTGTACTATTATCCCTGCATTCTTTTCCTTGCTACAGCTGGCTACTATCACTGAATGTATTACCTCATCAGTTTGCAGCCAAGATGTACCTGGATGGAGCCTAAATGTTGATATTGGCAAGATTAGACCACTCCACATTGTGTGCTCACTTTTACCACTGATCCATGTGTCCTCCTCTCATTAACCCTAGACCCCATCTGTCTCATCCATTTCTCTCTGGCTTTTTCCCAACAATCCTCATGCCTATTAGCTTAGCACAGTAGCGTCAAAATAAAACTGTGACTCTACCAAGCAGATTCGTAAATCTGAGGCTCTTCCCTTGATATTTCCACATTTCCATGCTTTAATGCACTCTGTTTAAAATGTGCTCATTTTGGAAGCCAGAGGAAAAGGCAATTTTCAGGTGCACAAAAGACACGTAATGATGCTCCCTTGGCCCCAAGCTTGCAATCCACCTGAGTCCCTGGAACTATATTAAAAATGAGACAAAAATAATCAGCAGCTCAAAATGAACCATATAGATTCAGGGCAGGGAGCAGGTTGGGGGTAAGGTGGAGGCAGCAACAGGAGCAAAAGATTGAGCAAGTCAAGGACCAGTGGGTGAAAATTAGACACCTCTAGTCAAATAAGCATTCCACCAAGAAGTTCATCATTCCAACACAAATTAGAAGCTCCTCTTCAGAAGACATGCTGTGGAATGATTCATTTTTTTAACTTATACTAATAAAATGGGTTCTTTTTCCTCAAGAAAAGAGAGCAATGTTCATAAGACACCTCATCAGTGCTGGAAAGGCGGCCTTTTTCCTGGTAATGCAGGGGAAAAGTGAGCATGGTGGACGCCAGTCTACATATCTGCTACAACGGAAGTACAGCGATTCTCAGATGAGGTGAACAGTTCTTTCCGTTTCTTAGTTTAATTATTCTGTATTTTGTTTTTGTTGGTAGAAGCCCTATGCATTCCTTATTATCCATTTTTTCCACAATGTATTCATCTGTATTCTTCCATTTTGGTCCACTCTTCTTATTCTATTTTTCTCGACCTTTTAATTGTACAGGTCTCTGTAGCAATGCTACCTTAAGGCCAGAGGCATTTGAGGGAAAAGAAGGTGGCAGCCGTGCCAACTACCCCTATTTGTCCCCTTTTTTTCCTCCTTTCCCTCAGAGGTAAAACAAGAGCTGCGAGCCCTCTGTCTCGCTCCCTTTCAGCATTTCTACCTCTACATGTTTCTCTTAAGAGCTCAATTCGAAGAGAAGGGCTGGGATGCCAAAAGGACCTTTCCTTGCTGCTTCTTATCACCTATGTCCCACCCTGCTACTTGGTAAATGTGCAGTGGAAGCCAGCTTTATGAGGACTAAGCCGAAAGAAGAAGAGCATTCTTGGGCCAGACCACTGAGCTTGCTTGGGTTGAAAAACTAAATTCATCCACCAGTGTACAGTCTTTGTCTGCAATTCATGAGACTGTGAAAATGAACTCTGTTTAGGGTGAAAAACTTTAAGTTACCTCCCGTCTATGATGTATTTAAGCAGGTTTGGAAAACACCTGCCACAGTTGTTGGAAGATACTAATAAATACTGGTGGCTTGGCCCAATGTAAACATGACATAGCCAAGTGGAAAGAATTTCACTCATGTAGGTGTCCCATGCAGTTGCCATCTCATTTAAAAGGCACTTAATCTAGCTGTTGGGCCATTTGTATAAAGCTCTCTGCATGCCAGCAGTGTTTTTTCACCCAAGCCACAGATCACTGGCATGGGGAAGCTGCAAGCTATTGGCCTAGTGAATAGAGTAAGTGCCTTTTAAATGATATGGCAGCTGCATGGAAAACCTACACGGAGAGGAACTTTCCATGTGGCCTCATCAATTTTAAATGGGTCCTTCATCAGATCTGTAAATCTGCATTGGCTGAAACAGGGAAACTAGTGGCTAGTCCTACTGCTATGACCATAAGCAACCTTTTAACACCCTGTGAGCTACTTCAGCTTTGGCTGCTGACCTCAGGGATCCCCTCAAACTGAAAATCAACTCACAGGACCCCAACTGTCCATAAGGATGCATCAGCAATGTAGTTCATATCTAAAAGAGGGCAATAAAAGTTCTGGAAAGCAAGCACTGGGGAAAATGGTTGAAGAAACTGGGTATGTTTAGTTTGCCGATAAGCAAGACATAATTTGATAGCTATCTTCAAATATTTGAAGGGTTCCCATGTGGAAAATAAACTAAACTTTTCGTTTGTTTGTTTTTCCAGCTCCATACAGGTAGGACCTGAACAAATAGATTGACATTACAAGAAAGGAGATTTTGACTAAATGTTAGGAAGACCTTCCTGACAATAAGAACTGTTCAACAGTGGAATGGACTGTCTTGGGAGGTAGTGGACTCTTAATCAATTTGATATTGTTAAACAGAGGTTGGATGGCTTTTGTTGTCATTTTTGGTGCTTTCTTTTAGGTCAGCGTTTCCTGAACTTGGATAAGCCAGGTGTTCTTAGACTGCAATTACCAAAAGCCTGCACCATCAGCTGGGCTGGTGAGGGTTTTTGGAAGTTGCAGTCCAAGAACACCAAGGTTGGGAACCACTGCCCTAAAAGACTGCAAGACTAAAAGACTGCAATTCAGAATATAGTAAATTGTCTTTTTCCCCAGGCCTATTTAGCTCCATAATTTCTTCACCATGGGCCGTCAACCTTGTTGGCCCTCCCAAAACCTTGGACTACAGTTCCCACAATCCCTTACCATTGGCCACGCACTGGAAGGAGCTGATGAGAATCATAATCAGTCACTTCCGGAGGGCAGCAACTTATCTTGCTCCGATTTAAATCCTATGGCAACAGCTCTCCAGTCGAAAATTCTCTGTTTGCTAGCATAAAGTCACCTGAATGATAGCTTTCTCCACACCCCTCGCGTGCCACGACATCAGTGTCATGTCCTGCTCACCCCAAGCTCACCAAATACCCAATTATAAAACCACAAAAGTCTGCATTGGCTTCAGTTCCAGAAGGCATTTCCTTGATAATGGAAAAACAAACAAAAAACACTTGCAGAAAATGGCCAGGTGAACAGATGCTGGTGGTGTAACTCTCGTGTCTTCAGCTTGGTTCATTACTGTATAAAGCAATTCATGGACTGTAGTTATAACGTTATGCCAGCGGTGTGTGATATGACAAAGGATTATTGGTGTTTCCCATTAAGACTTTGCCTTTCATAGGTCTCATTAACATCCATCTATTTAAAGACATATGGCATGGGGAAGCTGCAAGTTCTGGCTGCTCAAATAGAAGCTTGCTCAACCACATTGTTCCTGTTGTTTTAATTTGCACTGATTACACAATCAGCAATTTTATTGCTCTCAGTGTCGGCAGTATAGTACAGACATTTACACAAGGAACACAGAATCCAACATGTTCTTCTAGAACAATATTTCATTTAACCCAACACACTATTTCCAAAAGCTGCCATCACCAGATGCCTCTGAAGGAAATTATATAAAGAGTCATGTGTGAAACCAGCAGGGGGAAAATCAATTTCTAGTTTGGGGCTTGCTTACATTCATCAGCAAATTTTGATTTTCAAAAAAATACAACTGCCAATTTAGTGTTTAGCCCATTGCCAGTCACTGTTTAACTTCTTCAAGACTACACTGTTTTGTGTGTCTCATTTGCTATATTTGAATGGACCTGCATATATTCTGCTTTGCATGTGCTATGTTGCTTTATGGTTTTTTTTTGTTAAGACTACCTAACAGTCATATACATCTCTCTCTCTCTCGAGGACAGAATGTTGTGGATTTTGTGACCTTGAATTTGTTGCTGTATGCTTACTTATTCTTGTACATTTGTATTGCAATGTAAGCCAGACCTTTAATCAAGGCATAAGATGTATCATGAGATGTTTGTGTTTCTACCGATAATAAAGGTTTGTTGGTGTTTCTACAAGCTTTAGTGATGTTCCCATAACACTTTCTTATCCTTGGACCTGCACTTGATGAAAGGATGCTACTAATTCACATCAACTGGCAAATAATGAAAATATTCTAAAACTTAATATTAATAAAATCAAGGTCATTCTAATCAGGAAATCACCTTGATTTTCTTAATATTCAGTTTTAGAATATTTCCATTACTTACCAATTGACATGAATTAATAACATCCTTTCATCAAGTGCAGGTTTGAGGATAAGAAAGTGTTATGTAAACAAAAATCAAGAGGTTCAAGAAATGTACTTGAAAATTCAAAATAAGAGGATGCAGTGTGTTAACAAATGTAAACATCTGTCAATTTGATTGAATAGACAGTGGCAGCTTACTCATTGTATAAAGGTCAGAAGGCAGACGATCCAGAGCAGCTTCTTTATGACTGGGGGTTGTGCCAGGGCCCAGCCCTTTGGGATTTCTCAACGTATCCTAAATAAGATCCAATTTGAGGTTATTTGAGCCTCATCCAATTTGTCTTGTAAATTTGTAAAGTCAGTGTGCTGGAAAACAAAAATGAGCATGGTTGTTTCCTCCACTGAGTTATGTGCTATTTGGTGATATGCCTAACCCTAAAGAGTGGAGCAAATCTGCCAAATCTCAGAAAGATAACTTCAAGAGTTTGCATACTAAGTACTTTTAAGATATAATTTCTTGAGACAAAACAAAAGACACGCAACATCCGGTACCTGCTGTTGTGAATCACTCCCATCAAGGTCCAGTCCAAGAGGTATCCAGAAGATTAAACAGAGCAGTCCACAAACAACAACAACTACTCCCTACACTGATTTTGCACAGGAGTCAAACCTATATGGGGCCCTGGTGATTGGTCATCACTTCCAGCTGTACTCCCTGGCTGATTCCCTTCATGACTTACAGCCTGGTCTCAGCTAAGCCCTCGACTGAACCACCACACCTACACTAATAGGCTGAAGTGATTTGTACCACATCTAATCCTGTTTGTGCTTTGCTTCTATAAATTCAGACTGCTTCAGCCTGGCACCAAGTTTGTCCATGTTGCTTTAGTTCATATCTTGTACTCATCCATTTGAATCAGGTGAATTTGATTCAGGTTTTGTTCTGTCTCAATCTGGTACGCAGACCTATGTAAGACGAACAGTGTAACATGCAACAAAATTTTAAAGTTGGCTTTTGGAATGCATACTCTATAGTGTTGTGGATTCTTGGTTCTTCTGTACTGACATGGAATTTTGGACTTTAACACAAGCAACTATTTTTTTTTAAAAAAAGAAGCATTTGAAATGTGGATTTATTAAAAGAAGCTAATAATGCATTGAATCAAAGGTGAAACCAATGGTGAAGTGCAAAGGTTCCTGAAGAAAGATCTAGAGATCCTATTGTTGTATGATGTCACGTTGTGTCAGATTTATGATATTTTTGGAGGTATATGAGATGTTCAGGTTTACTGTTGTTACCCCCAATTAATTTCTATGGTCAAGCGAGGAGCTGAATCCAGGTCTCCTGAGTCCTAGTCTGTTGTTTTATCCACTAAACTGTACTGGCTTTCAAGAAACCATAAATTACATAGCACATAAAAAGCTAGAATCGTTTGGTCAATTAATGAAAAATAAAAGTTGAAATTCTTATAGCTAATCATATAGAATGTAATATATAGAGAGAAGGAAATGTGGAAAGAGAAGATTTTTTTTTATTATTTGTCTAAATGTATACCCCACTCATTTACTGGAGAAGCCACTATTCTGGGCAGCTTCCAAAACATAACAAGAATATACAAACAGAGTTGTTAAAATGAACACATAAAAACAAAACCCCTCAGAAAACCTCCTAGACTCAGAATGGTAAGCCATTGGCCAGCATCAATTCACTACAAAATAATTGTACAAAGGGGTGAGGCTTGTAAAGGCCTGAGTAAAAAGCCAGGTTTTAACGAGTGACACCAAGATCTACCCGTGTCACTCGTGCGAGCCAGGACGTGAGGCTGAGGAGCCTAACGCCGAAGGAGGCCCGGAAGGAAAAGACAAGAAATCGGGCCTTCTCGGCGGTGGCTCCTCGCCTCTGGAACAATCTACCTCCTGAGATTCGCGGGGCTCCCTCACTGGGTATCTTTAAGAATCAATTGAAGACATGGATGTTTCGGCAGGCCTTTCCATCAGATAATTCCTGATGCCCTTCTTCTCCCCCTCCCCTCTTTTATTGTTTTTTCTGTTTTGTGCAATGTCATTTGAATTATTTATATATTTTTACTGTCTCATTTTATGATTGTTAGCCGCCTAGAGTGGTCCTGACCCAACCAGATAGGTGGGATATAAATTAAATAAATAAAATAAACTTGCTTTCAGAAGCTCGAGAGAGTGGCGGAATGGAGTATTATGTGAATTCTAGGACAAAGAGGTAACTTTTCCAAGTTCACCCCAACAAATGTCTTCTGTAGTCCTATCACTTTAGCAATGTACACAACGCCTGTTCATTTCAGAACTATGACAACAAATTCACAGTGAATGTGAGAGCCTCTTTGATCCCAAACTTCTCTGTGCTGGAGAAGGAAACTGGGGCTCTCGCAGTATTTTGGATCTTCTATAATGCCTGGCCAACAATTGCATTGTACTCAAGCAGGAGCTCAAGACAGCTAGCAAATGATGGATTGTCTGCCTCTGGGCATCAACATGGCATCCTTTGAGTAAGAACTCCATTGGGATTTTCATGGGAATGGTCTCAGTTATTTCCAATAACACCTTACTTTCATAAGCAGTTCCAAATACACCAACAGATCCTAGGCCAGCATCTGGACCAGTTGGTTCTTTTTTTCACTCAACCCCATGTATTTTCTCTTGTGGCTGTGAAATCAACGTGGATGATTGATAATTATTCTGATATGGATGTTGTATTGCTCCTGTTCAGGCTCCCCAGTGGTCTTGAAGGCAGAAGGAATTTGCCAGTGAAACAGATAATGCACAAGAGTGTGCTTTGTTCCCCTGCATTCTAGGAAAAATGAGAATGAAAGGCTCCACCAACTGACGTGACTGGCAGCTGGAGCAAGATCACAGATCCTCTTCCCTCTGCTTCTGTTCTTTCAAAAAAAAAAAATCCCTGTTGAGTTTTGGGAACTTGTGTGACAATTGGGTTGGGCAGAATTTGGCAGAGTTAGCTAAACCAGGCATGCACCAGCACTCATCAGACAACAAATTGTTGTCAATTCACTTTCCAGTCAACCAATAGATGGGCAATTATCATCATCATCATCATCATCATCATCATCATCATCATCATCACTCAACCAATAGATGGGCAATTATCATTTAAATAATAATAATAATAATTACTTCCCTCTTTTGCTGCTATTTGCTCCCAACTCACTTTCCTTTGTTTGGCCAGGCTCTGTCAGATAGTCTTATGTTTTCCCCAGCTATTACAGCATTCTGATTATTTATTTGCGGTCAAATGAGAGAACACAATGGAATAATAAGCATTTCCCCCCTTCTTCACTCTCTTCTTGATGCGTCCAAACAATTTTAGCCAATCCAATAAATCCCACCGGCATCAGAAAAGTACTATAATTTCCTTCCAAATACACATTCGTTTAAAATGTAGATGTACATGTGTGCATGTAAAGGAAATAATTCAAAACACAATATACCACTGCCCAAACCAAGCCATATCTTGTATTTATTTCAGATTACTTTTCAAGGATTTTAGTATGAGTATTGCCTACTTATTTCTTTATGTTCCTCACCAGCATAAGTCTAAACCTGGAAGGTCTGAATACTGAATGTTTAGGACTTCTCAGGAAAGTAAAGGCACTTGCTGCTTCTATGAGAAAAGTGTATGTTTTACTTGCATGGATACTGTTTGCAAGTTTAGGTGCAAGCATTTCTCAACTGCATCCTTACCATTAGCCAAGCTTTCAGAACATCTGCAATTCCTTCTACCAGGGGGATGGATAAAGTGGATCAAGGAAAACACTTTCCTCTCTCATGCAATACCAGAACCAGGCGACATCCCCTCCAAGGAAGTGTTGGGAGAGGGAGAACAGACCAAAGAAAATATATCTTTCCCCAGCGTGTTGTCTGTGGAACTCCTTGCCACAGGATGTGGTGATGGCATCTGGCCTAGATGCCTTTAAAAGGGGATTGGACAGATTCCAGGAGGAAAAGTCCATAGCAGATTACACGCCATGATGGGGATGTCTAATCTCCAGGCGTCAAAGGAAGGTACCTCAAAATGCCAGATGCAGAAGTGGTATCAGGAGAGAGGTATCCAGTTGTCTTGTGTGCTCCTAGAGGCATCTGGTGGGGCCACTGTGAGTTACAGCAGTGGTCCTCAACCTTGGGCGTCCAGAGGCTTTTTGACTACAACTCCCAGAAGCCTTCACCACCACCTCTGCTGGCCAGGATTTCTGGGAGTTGAAGTTCAAGAACATCTGGAGGCCCAAGATTGGGGACCACTGAGTTAAAGGACCCTAGACTAGATGGGTCCTTGACCCTTTTTGACTACAAATCCCAGAAGCCTTCACCACCACCTCTGCTGGCCAGGATTTCTGGGAGTTGAAGTTCAAGAACATCTGGAGGCCCAAGATTGGGGACCACTGAGTTAAAGGACCCTAGACTAGATGGGTCCTTGACCAGTTACAGGACCCTAGACTAGATGGGTCCTTGACCTGATCCAGTAGTGCTCTTCTTATGTTCTTATGTACCATCTTCCTCAAAAGAGAAAAGGAGCACTGGATGCTTCTCCAAAGAGGCCATGGCTCTATTGGAAATATTCTCATTGGAGAACAACATGGACCTTCATTTGGTCAAACTTCATAGAGGACTATCCTTCGTCATAGAACTTTAAAGCAGATCAGTGGAGCCTGGGGCCCTTTGGGGAGTTGTTAGCCCCCCCTCCACACCCCAGATGCAGACCGTAGGCTTGGTTAAATGTGCAGGCTTGTTTGGTCACCAGACAATGAGGTGCCCATTTGATGAAGCAGGTGTCTTGTAAATAAAAGATTATGTACAAGGAGAGCGCTCTTCACAACAAGTTCCATTGAACAAATGGCCTCTTCTTCTCTTGGAATGATGTTATGACTGGTAATTCTGGGAAGGAAGGAATTAACTTGTGGAAAGAACCACCAAAAGAAGCACAGTCTGCAGAAAAAGTGATAAATACTGTAGATAGAGAGGATTGCCATGCAGCTCAAAAGGGTAGATCTATTTTCTCAGTGTAAATTCATTTTCTCTAATAATCAGGGCCCACAGATATTGTTGAATGAAATCGATATGAAGTTCCAAATGATTTTAAAAGAAAGAATCTGGGAATTATTTGTTTCAAATCCTTCACCTTTGATGGAACTACGGTGTTTCTTGGTGAAGAGTACAAGTGAGTGAGAAATTTATTGGCTCTCCTAATGTATACAAATTAACCAATGATCCCTCTGAGCTGCACGGGTGCATGGCCACACACCGCTGCATCAGTGGCATGTGCCTGCATCCAGTGTTGCCGCCCATGTGGTTCCAGTCACAGTTGGAACCCCCATGTGTGAGGGATGGGGCCCCCCGCCCAGTGCTGGCAGAAACTGAGAGGGAACGTTGAAGCTAACCCATTGAAGTGAATGCAAACCACACGTGTGTAAAAACATCATTAAAAATGCATGCATTTAAAAATCGCACACAAAGACACTTCAGTCTATGTGACCAATGAATATTTTTTTAAAAATCACAGAAAATGCCTACCTTTCAAAAAAAAATTTGGAAATACAAATAAGTTTCTCTCGCTAGCAGATCTCTCCATCTGATGCAGATATGCATCAGAA